TTTTTCCAGAATGTCTTAAGACGGCAATAATCATTCCTCTGCATAAAGGAGGAAACAAAGATGAAGCTTCTAACTATCGCCCAACTGCACTCCTTCCAACGCTATCTAAGATCATAGAAAGGTTGGTTAAAAGCAGGCTGGTATCTTTTCTGTTTAAGTACAAAATACTTACTGAATATCAATTTGGATTTCTAAGCAACAAGTCCACAAATGACGCTATGTTGTCCCTCCTTAATAAAGTTTACTCCAGCCTAAATAACCATCATTCTACAGCAACAATTTTCTGTGATTTTTCTAAGGCGTTTGATTGTGTAAATCATAAGATCCTAATTAATAAACTGCAGCACTATGGGTTCAGGGGATCATCTCTCGAATGGTTTAAGTCGTATCTGAGCAACAGAAGTCAACTTGTGAGGGTGGATACCAGGTTGTCTTCTAGCAAGCCAATAGAATGTGGAGTACCACAAGGCTCAGTACTAGGCCCTATTTTGTTTCTTCTTTTTATTAACGACATTGCTAACATAAACATCAGTGGCAAAATATATCTTTTTGCCGACGACACTAGCTTCACTTGGAGCAGCAAGGACATAACGGCACTTCATAGGATTATATCAAATGACTTAATCACCATTAAATCTTGATGCGATTCGAACCTCCTGAGTCTCAACATTTCTAAAACTAAAGCTTTGTCGTATAAAAACTCGTTGCAGCCTTTTGTACTTAACAACACCACCATTGACGTCGTAAAATCTGTAAAATTCTTAGGGCTTATTGTGGACAATTCTCTGAAATGGGACATACATATCGAAGCTTTGTCGAAAAAATTGAGCTCTGCCTGTTTTGCATTAAGGTCTGTTTCTAAGGAGCTTGTCAGTGGCTAGAACTGTTTATTATGCACTTTTTGAGTCGCACCTCAGGTATGCCCTTTCATCTGGGGTACGTGTTGCGCGACTCAATTTGACCGCATTTTCAAGCTCCAGAAGAGAACTCATTGCCGGGACTTTTTTAAAGAATTAAAAATATTGACTCTTCCTTCCCTATTTATTTGAATCCGTTTGCCTAATACGTAAACATGTATCAGCTTCTCAAGAAAGGCCATCTCACACTTATCCACTCAGGAACGTGGAGCAAGATCTTTATCTACCTACCCCACGCTCAGAGTTAGTTAAAGGTTCAATATTATACAACTCGAATAAAATGCATAATCACCTGCCATTTGAAATCAAATCCATAACATCATTTTTTTCATTTCGCAAAGCATTGAACTCTTATTTACTAGACAAGGCTTTCTACGCAATAAATGAATTACATTTTGAAAATCGAATTTGATCTTGTAAACACTGGTCTAATGTTTGCTATTGCTATATTTACTAATGACGTCGAAATAAATTTATTTAGAGGTCATTGATATTTTACTATAAAGTAACTAAATATTTTTGAATATTATTTTTATTTTTTTGTTCTTTGACATTGTAAACATTTATATATGCTTATTTTAAACAATCAGACTGACAATATTATTTGTATAATGTTTTGTATTATCTTTTGTTTGTTTGTTTGTGTACCTTGTTTTTTTACTTTGTTTGTTAGTTTACCTTTGTCTACAAATTGAAATTTTTTTTGACAATAAAGGCATTTATATATTTATTTATTTATTCCGCTATTTCTTAGACATAGAATAACTACGTATTTTTGGAATCAAAATATATTAATTGCACACAATTTACCTCTATACAGAGGTGCTTCGTTTGTCCGTTAAGGAGCATCAATCAAAAATAAACGCAAACGTTAATTAATTTAAAATTTATGAAGCTTATTTTCGACTTTGTGTTAGTAACATTTGTGATATTAACATACAATTCCATATTTTTGCCAATCAGATTATTAGCGCATACATAGCTTGATACAACAATGATTTGAACATTTTTTGAGAGTCAGTTTGGAAAAACCTTCCTTTTCCTCAACAAGTATACACGATGGCGTTTTTTTACAAGTGACAAAAAACGTTGGAAATACTAGAAGGACTATTTTACGGAAAAAAATTGATTGTGCAAGTTTTTGCAGCAATTGTGGAGTTGTGGAGAGAATTTATGTAGTGGTGGTGGTAGTTTTTACCTTTCCCGTACTTTTTCTTAATTGTGTTTATCTCATCAACCTTTTAAAAAATGTGTTCATTTCTATAAAGTTTCATGCTCTCTAGCGGACAAACGAAGCACTTTTGTATGCTACTAGAAAAATTTGACAAATAAACAACTTACAAAATATACATCCCCCATTATAAAATATGATATGTTTTACTCAAAAAGAATTACAGTTGAGGGTTGGAAAAAAGAAGCAAAATATATTATGTCGAGTAACAGAAATAAATCGTACTGTCGCATATTTTTATTTTTCCGCCAAGTACATCATCAATAAAACACGCCGCTTGCTGAAGATAATTTACATTTTCTAGCGGGAAAAAATTACAAATACATACATTTCTTCGATAATTATTTATACTCTTATACCGGTATAGTGGTATTGTATATAAAAACTTGTTAGATAATCAATATCAATATAGTTTTTTAATAATTGTTTATATACGTTTATTTGGAAGAAAAGGAATAGATAAAATATTTTTTTTCAGACGTCACAAAAGTAATAATTTTTGCGACGTGATTGAGAATATAAAAAAGTCATTTTATCGCCTAAGCATAAAAGTAAAGCACTTTTACGCCTAAGCATAAAAGTACGATAATCAAAACGAAAATATATTATTAAACTGAAATAAAGTGTCAAATTCAACGAGCCTAACCATAGAGTTTCTTGATATACAGGCTGGTCAGAATTGTATTCCGGAAACTTCAGCAGCATATTATGCAGATAAAAATAAGTAAGAAAGTTCGTATAAATGTATGTCCTAAAATTGCTTAGTTTCGGAGATACAGGGTGTAGAAGTTTTATTTTTATTTCGATTTTTTACAAATAATTTCTAAAGTAACGTCAATATTTGGACGAAAATTGGTGTCTGGAAGTTTTTTGACATGAGAAATTTGATTTTGAAGTCAATATGACTCCTACTTGTAGAGGGCGCCACCTACATATTTATTACCTGGTTTGAAGAGTAATAACTTTTTGTCCGTACCTGTATAAACTACTGAGTAAAAAATATACATTCACGACGTTTTTTACGTAAAAACGATCTCTTGGTAAAAATCGTTACGAATAATGGTTCTCGAGATATTTGGAATCGAAATTATCAATACCTGTCGTCATTGACATAAATTGAACATGTTGACTAAATAGTTATTAAACTGAAATCGTAAATTTGAAATGTGTTTGTGCTAAAAGTTCAACAGAAACTTTTTTATCATCATTTTTTCAAAGAAAATTTATGATTAATTTAAAAAAATAAGAAGTTTCCAAATTTATCATTTCAGTCAGATAACTATCTACTCGGCATTGTTTATTTTTGTCAATAATGACATGTATTGACTATTTCTATCCTAAATATCTTGAGAACGGTTGCTCGTAGCGATTTTTACCAAGGGACATTTTGTATGTAAAAAGTCACGGAATGTATATTTTTTCACTCAGTAGTTTTATACAGGTACGAACGAAAAGTTATTACTCTTAAAACATTTAAAATACATGTAGGTGGCGCCCCCTACAAATAGGAGTCATATAGACATCAAAATCAAATTTCTCATGTCAAAAAACTCCCAGACAACAATTTTCATCCAAATATTGACGTTACTTTAGAAAATATTTGGAAAAAATCGAAATAAAAATTACACTTCTACACCCTGTATCTCCCAAATCAAGCATTTTAGGACATACATTTATACAAACTTTTTTACTTATTTTTATCTGCAGAATATGCTACCGAAGTTGGCGGAATACAGTTCGGACCACTCTGTATAATTACATACCATAAGGTATGACTTTTAAATCTTTTTTATATTATTTGCAATGTTTGAAATTGTTTAAAAAATTATTTGTGGTGTTTGAAAAAAATAGCATGTTCTATTCGGAGTAAAAATGACTTTTTGTTCCTCGGCTGTATGACGCACTCGCTGACGCTCGTCAAGTCCCAAAAGTGAAGCATACAGCCTCACCACAAGAAGTGTCATTTTTACTCCTAATAAAACAATATACTATTTTTTTAATTTCCAAACTTAGGCTAAGAACATAGTGGAGCGACGAGGATAGCGGCGAGCAAGCAACGCGATACCGCGTCGGGCAAGCCTCGACGTGCTGAAACATAGTAGAGCGGCGAGGAATAGCGAGGTACTTGCAAATTTATTATTTTGCTTATTGATAATTTAAAATGTTAACAGTGGCTAAAATTCTGTGCGGTAATGTCATTTGGTAACAAATATTTGGTTAGATGAAGTTTTCAAACCGGTTATTATTACCGGTTATGGTAATTACTACCTTTCTGATCCCATAAAATCTGTCTTACAAATACTAAATCTATTAATTTTTAAGAATCTATCATTTTCTACAGCGCGACAGAGCGACGAAAACAAAATTATTTGAATCGATCTCGCCGTTCGATCTAACCGCTCGAGCAGATCGCTTTACTATGTTCGCGCGTACTTGTCTTCAAAGGTTTGTTTTAGACGCGATGTCACGCTGCTTGCTCGCCGCTATCCTCGTCGCTCCGCTATGTTCTTAGCCTTAAACAACTCAGTTATTTTGGACTATTTGAAAAACGGTAAAGAGAAAATATGTTTCTTTGATCGAGATCTACAAACCCTTATTGCAGTATGATCAGAAAAATCTAAAACTTTTTCAAATACCTATCAACTTTTCTCTTATTTTAGGAGGCCCAATTTTAAACAATGAATCTGAAACCTTTGAAACTAGACAATCCCTCTAGTTCCTCTAAGCCCTACCGAAGGACGGCAGCCGACCTAGAACACGCCGGGCAACAATCCGCACACACCTTGCGCCGGCTGCACCGGTCCTATTTGGGCCGACGGACGACCAAACCGCTTCAATGTCAACGTGAAAGCGCCGAAGAGTACCGCCAAGGCAGGTAGAAGGTACCTTCGTCGTCGTCATCGAGCGGCAACAAGTGGCACATGGGCCTCGCGCCGTTTCACACCGTAAGTGCCCCGATAGTACCGATTCGACCGTCGACTGCGCCGAGTACCGTTACCTCTTAAGCTTCTGCTGCTTCTTTTTCGATTGGCCGATATTTGTTTTTTTCCGTCGGCGGTGAAAGACCAGGTGAATTTTTGCAAAATCGGTCCAACTGTGTGCTCGTCGGAAGTCAGCTGTCGCGTAAAAGAAGAGACTCGGTGTTAAGGATGCATCTACGCCACACAGCTGTTCTGTGAACTAATGAATGGTACCAGAACACCAACAGCAGCGCTTGGACCATTAGAGTGGATAGTAATTAGAAGATTTAAGTTTGGTTGCGACGATTTGTCGCTGAAAGTAAGTTTTATTTCGTTCTGCTCTTCAGTTCTTCGTAACACCAATATATTTCATTACCGTAAACTGGAGTATCTTTGTGACTGCAGCATAACTTTGGTACATTCCTCATATTTTCATATTGTGTCAAGTTCGTCATTTTCAAAAATAAAGTTATCTCTACTACATGCTATTAAAGATTAACTAAACTACTACTACATAACCCAATCTGGCCATTCTCCAACTGCATTGAACACTGCGAGTTTATTAATATTTCAAAAAATCAACTACAAATAAATGTATTTTTTCCATTGTAACTGTTAAAATTGCCTTATATCTATCAAAAATAGTAGATAAAATAGTACTTTAACCGCAAGGGTAGATTAAATGTTACTTTAACAGCGAGGATAGGTTAAAAACTTTATTTCTTCTCGCACGTTTTTTAATTACGGGTCCGTTCGACTTTACGGACACAAGAATTTTAAAAAAACAAAAATTGTCCTGAAAAGTACGCGTTTTAGTAGGTAACTTAAGCCAAAAAAAATTGCGGATTATCCAGTAAATTTTAAAATATTGAAATAAAATAATGGTACTATTTGATGCTGAGGAGGAATTTTGACAGATGGCACAACCATATGATGACACATAACCAACATGACGTTAGCCACGGATGACATTAACCTGTGCGACGTTGCCGCTGCTTTAGGCCAATTTTTCACGTCCCGGTCGCCGCGCCGGAGGAACGGTGGAGCCATCACGGTGAAAACAAATGAATTAATTTAAAATCTGTGTTTAAAATCAAATCATTGAAAGCACTCAGATTCATATTAAAATATATAACAAACACAGCTTAATACCCCTCACCATAGAAAACCTAACCAAAGCAACCCAAATGCTAACCAATCTAATATTTTTGCAAAATCACAGTTAATTATTAAAATATCAAAACCACAGCTTAACACCCTCAGCAAAGAAACGCTAACCAAAGCAACCAAAATCCTAACCAATCTAATAATATTGTGGCAAAATCACCAGTTAATTATTAAAATATAAAAACCACAGCTTAACACCCTCCACAAAGAAAAGCTAACCAAAAATTCAAAACCACAGAACCCTTAAAAGAATATCTAACATAACCTCACTTCAGTAGAAAATTATATAAAATAATTATATTGACAACGTCGCAAATAGCATGCGAAGGCCGTCGATCAACTGTCAATCAAAAAGTCAATGGTTGCTAGCTCGGAATATTGTAAATACATGTACAAAGGGGTTTTCTTGAATTTTTGTGCTTAAACTAGATCAATCCACATCTATATAATGTAGTAAAGTGCTAATATTCAATGTTTCTACCTAATTTGTATGGAAAATTTAACGTTTTTAGTGTCCGTAATATCGACTGGAACCTTAATTGCTTCCATTTTTGAAAATTTTTGTATTCCTTTTCATAAGTTATTCGGGATTTAAATGGAAGTAGTTTGGATATGGCGTTTGTCACCTCAGCCTGAATATCTGTTGGTAATTTACTTGTTTCGTTTTGAGCCATTTCTGGCTCCAATTCAATCAGCAATCGACACAAAAGAGAATTATAAAATATTGATTCAAAACTGACAACTAAAGAGACAGCTTTATTTATTTGTCAACTTACATAGAAACCAAAGCCAATCCAGCACAATATTTTTTCTACTCGTCATAAATTCCTTGAAATAATAATTTCTGAATATTTTTTAAAACGTAACTCGCTATGGAAAAAAATATTGTTTTATACACGACGATAACATTGCATTATCGTCTCTCGAAATTAAATCTTTTCGGTCGACGATAAAATACCATTTTAACGTCTTGTATAAAAAATAACTATTTACGAATTCTGTATACTTTCTACGCTACAAACAGAACTGTAAAGTTTCATGAAAAATTAGTTAGTGTATCTTAAAACACTTTTATTTTACTTAAAAAAACTTTTTTTAAACGACACTGGGAGAATATATGTTTGCTTCTTATCTTGGTCATCTCTGCGGGCCATTTTTGGTACGGTTTTATAAATGCCCTATGATACTGATTGCCCTGAATATGATTTTATACTAAAGTTGGACATAATAATGACAGTGTTCTTTTTAAAGCAGTTATTAAGTTTATTATATGTGAGGATTTTAATTTGACCATTAACTGACCATAGCTCCCTCTAGTTGATGACTCGCCAACTCGATGTCCTTACATTTGTGTTCTGGGCCTGGATAAGGCTTAGCAGGGAGGTGGTGTCTCTCCTCTGGATCCTCGAGATCCTCGACGTCTTACACCTTGTGCAATAATTTCGTGGGCAAATTTTCTAAAAACATTATTTTTCGGTCACAACCATGTCTCCTGAATATTTTGTTCTTTGACTCATGTCAACACATGCCTTGGTTAATTTTTAAGAGCAAAATGAATTTGCTACAAAAATTTGCATGTGTTTATAATGTTAGAATGTAAGTGAATTGTTCAATAATTGTTCAGGAGCTAGCTTTAATTATTATTGTTATGTACGAGTATATATTAGTTCTTAGAGTCGAAGATTGTGAAAAAGTCATTGATCTTGTTGAAGATGGCCGAAATTATGAATATTCGCTTGGTCCTTGAAGAAGAATGGGCAAACCTTACACAATATATTTGCAGCCTCATTAACAGTATGAACCTACGTCTACAGACATTTATGGCTGCCGAGGAAGGCAATACAAAGTATTAGAGTATTTTTTACAAGTTTTTTGTTAGTTTTTACACTTTATTACAGTTATTTTTTTAATATCCTTAGTTCTGTTAGTGTTATTACTATTTATTAAAACCTAGCCTGTATCGTTGCTTTTTAACGTTTTTTAAATTTTAATATAGAGTTTTAATCAGTGTCGATATGACATTACGACAATAGCCACCAAAGCCACCTCGTGATATTAGAAAATAACATCATAAAGTAATGATAGCTGAAAAAATTGCAAATTGTTGGTGGCAAGTTCAATTCGCTTTTAAAAATTAACCAAGCAAGGCATGTATTGACATGAATCAAATAACAAAATACTCAGGAGACACACGGTTCTGATCAAAAAATAATGTTTTAGGAAAAGTTATTAACGAAATTATTGCACATGGTGTTTTAAAGTAAAGATGAAAAACAACCCTTCAATTAACCCTGCATATTAAGCCAAATACTAAAGTTTATAAAAAACTGAGTTACAGTTTGTTAAAAGATTCATAAAAATATAGCTAAAAGTAAAAAAAAAATAGGCATAACAGTTTAATCTTGACTAAACAATTTTCCGTTGCGTTTAAATAAAGAAAACTAAAGGTTAAACCACAGATAACACATAATGTTAAACATTGTATAAATCAAAGATTTCATATATTTTCTCCTATTTCTGTTTTATTTTAGACTCTGATCTAACAGTTTTTTAGTGTTTTTTTTATATTATTTTAAGATAATTAATGTTAAGAAGTAATCCGTTTATACCTCAGTTTATACAAAAAAAAAACGGAATTATAATTCTTCGGAACTCAGCTGTCGTTCAAAAAATACTGTGAAGCAGTGCTAAAGTTTCATTCGCCGCGAAACATCTGTTTAGTCTATTAAGTTAATAAATGGTTCAACAACAATTGTTAAAATAATTACAAAGAATATTCAACAAAATATATTATTTTTTAACGACTTTCAACAAAAAAAATAGTATTTCTATTTGCACAGATTATTTTCACCATATTAAATTATTTATTCTGTAATAAACAAAATGACACTTCTATATTACTAAATACTATTCTAAAGAACATAAAAAGAATAAAAAGCTATTTAATATTTTATTTACAACCACATATGTAATACTGACATTACTGACATTACTGACTTTTAAAAAAATTGAAAGTGTCAAATTATCTACATTTCTTCCCGCTTCCATTTCCCTCACCTATTTCCCTCATCCATTTCCCTCACTCGATTTTTTTTATTTCTCGCCTCATTCAATTAAGCAAAATATTCTTGTAATATCTTTATTAAATACTTATCTAACATCAACAAAAGTAAACAAGAAGATTAACAATAATAATTGAAGATTTTAATACATTTATTTGTTGAAGGTAAAAATGCTAGACTTCTTTGGCTTAAAATCTACATTCTGGTGTTTTAAAAAAGCGACGAGTTTGTGATATTTTGATATGTCAGTCTTTTCCCTTAATTCTAGCATTGTCCGTATCATTCTATACGTAGCCCAAAGAGTAGATGGCTTTTCTGCCCTGCTATGTCGCTAAAATATGCCATCAAGACTCTCTCCGAAGCAATATTCTTAGCATTTCTTCCGGCACACCATTTTTCGTATACTTTCAATGCTATTTCATACCGCCCCCTACTTTTCTCTGGAAGTAAACTGGTTTCTACTCTTTTTGCAGCTTCTGTAAGTTCTGGTGGAGTACCAATATTAAAGTAGTCTTCATTATCAGATAACATTCTGGCTTTCTATGTTATATAAATTCGAAAAAGCGAACGAGAAATTCAAAACTGTCACTTAGTTGTTTGTTTTGCTGTTGAAGGTTAGCCCAACCACTGGTACCGGTAAATATAGATATATTATGGAAATGCCAAAACAGAAAACGACAAATTTTCCCATATTTATTTTTTTTTCAAAATAAAATACTGTCTCTATTTTTTAAACACACGATGATGTGGTTCTAAATAAAATAGTATGTAAACCTCGGAGGAAAGTTTTCATTATTGTCTGGAGATTTAGTTAATCTCTCGACAGTGATGAAACACTTCCCTCCTCGGTATGTAGTATACTATAACCATCAGAAAACAAGTTATACCGTGCTGGCAACTGTTACTTTTGGGTCGGTATTTACATGTGTGGAAGTAAATCGCATAGGGATCTTATTAAGTCGGAGTGAGAGAAATGCGACCAACCGACGCCAACGCAGCGCACGACGGTGTGCTGTTGCGGCGTTGCCGATACGCCTTTCCTTATCAAGTAAAGTAAAATCACGTTCGCAAACCGCTTATTTTTAAAAAA